AAGTTGTTTAATCAGACTGGAATGCAGCGTGACTGTTTCCCTGGATCAAGCAAAGAGAGACACGGACAGAAAAAACGTCTTTTGAAACACAAAGATATTTGAGTAAGTATTAACATACTTTATTTGTCTGGCTTTGAGCTAGAACTGTATTTAGTCTGTTTTAGTCTATAATCTGTTTTAAGTCTTTTGTCATCTGCATTTTTAATTCTGATCTGTTTCTATATTAAACAGTTTTCATTATACGCTTCACGTAGAATCATCTAACATAATCTAAAGCATAACTAACCTCTTACGTCTCTTAATATAATCGGTTCTTCACTTCTTGAACCAGATCTCATTCTTTGTTCGGTTTCAAGCATTATTTGTTAGTTTCCTCAAAAAGATAACTTCCTCATATATTGAAATAAATACATGTTACTTTTAACCGTTAGGATGTAAGAGTTTTATTTAAATCCAAGTAACATTTTGTACAAAAACATTTCAAACATTATTCTCTATTTCTGTATCTTATTGAGTAAATAGCTAGGCCTTACACTGGGGAAGAGCAAGTCTCACTCCAATAAAGATTCTGAATTATTAATGTGAAACCAGTCCAAGTGCTGATTTCTTAGTTTTGGTTAAAGTTTTTATGGAGATACATCTAGTTCACTGTTTAAGGACTCATAGATTCTCTAATTTATGGAAATTCATTGTCTTTAAATACTGCAAAGGCTTCTGTAGATTTTCTTTTTTGTTATGTTCTAGACAGTCTTAATTTAAATTTTCCTGATATATTTACTTTCAGCGGCTTCCTCTACATCCTCTTATATTTATATTCCATATAGTTTACAGGTAAACATGTTAACTTTATGTGCTACTTTTTGGCTAGATGATCACTCTGCTGATCTTGTTAAATGTTTCTATTTAATTAGTTTGAATCATGAGCTATTCTAACATAGTCACATAATTTTCACATGTCTCTATCTTCTGATTTAGTACTTAATACTATAGACTGTTTGTTTCAAATCACTGAATTTGGGAACAATTCCAAAGTATTAGCAGCTGAGCTCTAATGTAATATCCATTTATAGTTTTCCTACCTTACTATGACATTTGGCACAAACCGTGAGTCTTCCTTCAGAAAAGGTTTCAAGGCAGGTTTAGCAGAATCTGTGAAGAGAAACTTAAAGCAAAGTAATTAGTATGTTGTTAATGCAGAGTTTGCAATTAAAACCTGGTTCAAGTTGTGTCCTGCAGTAGGGAGGCTGAGCCTTTGTACTGAAATAAAAACTGGTCTGGAAATGTTTGATCTTTTCCATTCAGACCTTTGATCGATTAATACATCGTGTTTATCAACCTTAACAGAGAATGTAGGGATAATAAAGAAAACTGATTTCTGATATATGAAATAAACCTGTAGATTCACTGTATGGCTGAATCTTTACAAATCATATTTGGTGGTTTTTCAACTTAACTGTACCAAAAATAAAGTAAAATAAAATAAAATTCTGAAGACATCCCATAGGATTCAGGATGTAACTGTTGGAATGATTTACATAGTGGCAATTCGTAACATATTCTGAACATTTTGAAGCTTATTAATTACAGCTTATAATTTTCCCAATACTAATTCAGTCTTTGTTAAGTAAACATCAGCAAGTTTGGACAGAATGTCAGTGTGAGTTCTGTCCCCCAAAGCTGGAGTTTTTTACAACATGAACAGAAAAAAAGAAAAGAAAAGACAAAATCTTACTCTAATGTTATTAAATTATCTAAATCTCAGTGTTACTTAATTCTAATTGCATGAACTGATAAGCATGTTCTCTCTAAATCCTAAACTGTCTCTGCTAGATATGAGATATTCTTCCTCATGCTGGTTCTAAGTCTCATAATGTGCTCAGCAAACTTCACATCACTCTAAATTATATGCTGACCATATTTTGTTAAGCGTTTGTTTTAGAAAGTATCTGACCCTAACGTAATGCATTGTAATGTTACAAGATAGTTTTGCTATAAAGAAAACCATGATATTCAAAGGTTTGGAATGCAAGTTTATATTAAGATAATCACGACTGCTCTAAGGCATTGATTACACATTTTGATTGTATTCAGTTTGCAATAGATGTGTTTGGATTAGAAGTACAGTTAAACCTAGAGGTTTTTTTTTATAAAACAAGATAGATATTTTATTAGATATCATGTAAATGTAAATGTTTTGCTGATCTCTGCTGTTGTACATAAATAAACCATAATTCACTTACTCTAACCATAAAGCTGTGTTAATTTGAGTATCTGATGTGTTTGGCTTTTTTGCAGTGTTTGTTTCACGTCCAGCAACCAGCAACAGAAACCATCTCCTATTTTGGCCGAGCTTAATAAGTAATTAATTTTTAATTGATCCCAGCAGTGGGCTGCGATCGTTGGGCACACAGAGAGCAATCAGGGTTAAGGGTCTTGCTCAGAGACCCAGAGTGGCAGTCTGTGGAAGAGGGTTTTGAACTCGCAACCTCAGGATTCCAAGCTCTATGCCCTAACCACAAGGCCAGCACTTCCCTTCAAGGTTTTCATGTCTGTTTCAGCACTTTCTAGTTTTGCCAGTGATATTTGTGTGAGCCGCTTCAGCTAGATGACCGTGATTGATCCAGTCTCTTCCTCATTCGTTCTCGGCTGCATGGCTTCAGTTCACCAGGCTCACCTCAGTGTTTAGTAATCAGCTTGTCACAAGTCTGGACGGCTCTCATGCAGCTCCGAGCCCCCTGGCCTCAGGGCACCGTATCCTAACCTTTCAGCCAAACTCATCCAACTCCTATGTCTACATACCATTTTCTTCAAATTATTCAATTTCTCTGCAAATAAAATAGCATGTTCTTAATGACATTTTATATTTAAAACATCCACAATACTATTTGAGGTTTAATTAAATTCTCCATGTAAATAATTTGTCTTGTTAAATATTTTATGAAAGAACAATTTATAAATCATAATTTTCCAGTAGCAAAACCACATTTCAACTTTTGCTTCAAGGTGTTAATAGGATTTTATTTCATTTGTCTCTTACCCCTAATAATTGTTGAGTTGTATTTTCTTCTATCAAGTTTCGATGATTGCAGCAGTGTTTCTGTTTAAGGTTTCCACCTTATTTCTGCTACATTGAAAGAAGACATCGTGTTGCTACCATGCTACCACAGTGCTACTTGAATATTTTCATCTTCGTATTGATCTTTCTGATGCTCACAGTCATCATGAGCAAAGGTAAGAAAAAGTTACCTACTCTACATGGTTCAATTCAACTCAAAAATATTAATCCCAAAGGGAAATAACAGTAACTCAAAGGCTTTTTTGTTTTGGTTCAGTTCAAAGAAATGTTTAAAATTTGTCAGACATGACCGTTACTATACCTGCATATAGATCAATAGAAATATAAAACAGTAATTATAACCAAATCCTTTCTTATCCATCAGGTTTTAAGGTGATCCAGCCCCCATTTCAGGATGTTAACTCTGACAAAACAGCTTCTATCAGCTGTGAACATGACGCAGAGAACTTTAACCTTAGGGATGTTCGTCTAAACCTTAAAAAACCGTGAGTGACCTGATGATGCTTCTGTAATCATACAGCTAGTCAAATAATATATTTATTTGTGTGCATTTTAACAGAACTTGTTTTTAGTTTTTTCCTTATGTAAGTAGCTATATAACTTTGCTTTAGATGGATATTTAATGTTATTTTTTGGCATTTCATAGAGTTTAAAATAGATATGCTCCAACTGAGATATTATAATGTGAGATAAACCCTCACCATTAGTGTCTCCTCTTTTTTAAATTATCTCTGCAGCATTTCTTTGGTTGAGGTATACAAGTCCCTACCACTCCTACCTGCACTACATTTCACTGTGGGTTTATACTACACTGCTGTAATCTTTACAATCACGTACTTGTTGATTTTCCTACATATTCATTTTTCATGTCTCTATGTTTGGACCACACCTTGAAATTTGGATTTTTTTTTCTTATTTGTATGTCATAAACATAGATGGAAATGTTTCTCAGTTTTAAACATGGCCAATGTTTCTGAGTCAATAGTGTAGTTAGATTTTGACAGTTGTGGAAGAAGCTATAATACAATTGGCATCACATCAAAACAAACATCTTATAAAATGTATGGCCCAATTAAATTTATATTTTTTCTGAATTCACTACATTCCAATGTTAAACCTTTCCAAACAAAATATTTTTTTATCCTAAATAATCCTCATAGTTTTTCTTCCTGTTATGCCCATATGGGGTATAAATCCTGCTATGCAGAAGCTTAAACTTCAGCAAGGCAAGTGGGAACATTAAAAAAAATCTTTTAATGATGTTAGTAAATGATAAGGTTTGTGTTCATTAAAAGCTTCAATAATGATATCAAAACTCTGTTTTTTTTCCTAAAATCAAGCAGCCACACTATTAAACCACAAAGTCTCTTCAGCATAGCTACAGCTGATGCACTAGTCTGATGCTGACTAGTGCATCAGACTACTGCATCAGACTTGACCCACTAGTCTGGGGCTCTCCTGTCACATCAACATCTACATTTCTTCCTTGACTACATTCATGAACCTCTTCTGTGATGTTCCCTGTTTATTCTCTGGCAGCTTTACCTTCATTCCTCTTATTTTCCCAAACTTTTTCAGCTTTGTCTTTTCAATTTCATTTTTTGGAAATTTATTAGAGGTGTCAAAAGCATTTTTACATTTATTATTTCAGTAGAAGTATAAATCGTAAAAACACATTTGCAGAACTTAGCTTTGCTTTGGTTTTCATTTTCTTATGAAAGTAGTTATTATTTGCTCTTAAAGATGTGAAGACTTTCAATTTATTTAAACTTTTAACACATTCTCACTTGAAAAAAAATTTTTTTTTCATTATCTATTTTTTTCCGAGCTTATGTCACATTACTTGGACAAACCACGGTTTTTCTTCTGCACCATTCAGTTTATTCATTTAATATTTCATCTGTGTTTTAACTTTTAGGACAGGAACAAGCAAGCTTTGCCAGAAGGGAATGTCTAGCTGCCCAAATATTACTCAGGAGCAAAAAAACGACAGACAGTATGTCTTTACTTTGAAAAATGTTGGTCTTGAACAAATGAAGTTTACCTATGAGTGTGAGATAACATTGGAAATAAATGATCTGGATTTGACCGAAAAGGGAGAACCAACCCAACTCCTATACAGTATGTAACCCAACCATCAAATCACATTTTATAAAGTCTTTTGTTGGTTCTGGTAGAAATCAGTGTCACAATACCGAAATGGAGAAGAATTCCATTAGTAGGTCTTACAGTACCCAAATCTATTTTTCCTAACTCATCCTTTATTTCCATCAGATTTTAACGTAAACCAGCCGCAGTTTCAGGATGTTAATCCAGACCAAACAGCCTCTATCAGCTGTCAACATGATGCAGAGGAATCAACCGTGCAGGAGGTTGGACTGTACAGGATTTCACAGTGAGTGTCCTCTCTATGGTGTCTGAGAGGGTCATATTAAAGCACAGCTAAGAAAAATACCTTTAAATAGATGAACAGTTCTACTAAAGCAGCATAATTAAATAAGTTTTTAATAATCCAAACTTTAATTTTATTTCAGCTGTGATGTTTTTGTCATGTTGGGGTTCAGGTTTCTAACCCACATGCAGAACACCAAGGAGTCAGAGTAAAAGTTTAACAATTTATTAAAGGTTTGCACAAGGTTGTTTAACAGATTCTGGAATCAATGATAAACACAAGGTTAGTTGATAGGTGCTGGAATCAAATCCGGGACTGGTCACACAAGGCTCTCTGCAGAGAAGGACAGTTAGGTTAGCCAGGCAGCTAATGATCATGTAGCTGAGAGAATGTGCAGATCTGTACCTGTTCAGAGATTCAGGCTGAGCAGCAGAGGGAGGGAACCAGGAGGGTCTAGAGACTGACTGATGGCAGAGGGCTTGACAGCGACAGAACTTAGCTTCAGGCTTGTGAGTGTTCAGAGCTTCTTCAAGTTGCTTCTTGAAGGATGGTAGGCAGATCCAGACAGTTTGAGGTTTTGTTCTTCAGGTTTGTTACTGAGAGCAGGCAGGCAGGTTTCAGTTGAGTTGCTCTTCCAGAGCTCCAGGTCTCAGTCAGATTCTTCCTAAGAAGCAGAGAGGACAGAAAACTGGTTAGGTTCAAGTCAGGCTTTCAGGGAGTCAGAGAATCAGGCAGGCTGGTTGGCTCAGGCTTGCTAACCGTAACTGGCTTAACACTCTGGCACTCAAGAGTAGTTCTGCCGCTGCTTATATGCTGGTCTCCCCTGATGAGCAAATCAGCCGCAGGTGTGGTAGTCAGCTTCAGCTCCAGGAGACCTAGGACGCCCTCTGCTGGAGAAAGGTGGACAGATCTTCAGATCCCAAAAGTTTTATTAGTGTTTTGGGGTTTTTTCTAGGATATTTTGTGTCAGAACTATAACTGTTGTTTTTAGTAAGCTTATTTTACTTCTCACTGTATTTTAAAATAAAAACAGAGTAATCTATGTTTTTAATACTTTCCTGTTGTTTTACTTTAGTATTGAAGTTTACCCAGTTGTGAAATTTGTTTTAAAATGATTACAAACACTTTAATAAATGTCATGGGTGACATTTTTTTTCTTACATCCTGTTTACATTTTATAAGATTAGAATTTAGGATATCAACCAATATAACCTTTATATAACAGCTTAATTAGACTCATGCATTTTTAGCCTTGAGCCTCCATTTTCATTGTTCAGGAAAAAGAAGAATAAATATTTACATTAATTTTCACAGCTGACATTTGATATTTAACATTACATGAAAATAGAGACACATTCTTTATATTCAGAACACTTTTTATAATTCAGCATTTCTCTATTTTGCAAATATTTAATCAAAATGCTCTCTCACCTTTTGTTTTGCAACCTTTTGTAGATGCAAAGCCTTTACTGGCATTATGGCAACAAAACTTAGCAGGGATAATGTTGTTTTCAGCTATACTTGAGCTGATGAAACACAAAAGAAAGAAATGGGAAAGAATGGCAGTTATTTTTACTCTTTACTACCCAAAAATTTGACTTAAAGATTTGTAAAAATCTCCCGTATTCTTGATAACTAATATTACTATTTCCAAAACTGCCTTTTTTAAATCCATAACTTAAATTAAAGAATATGTATACTAAAATGTTAAATATATTTAAAAGAAATAGATATAACATTCTATGGTAACATTTATATCTTAATTGGATGGATAGAAATAGAGGGGCTAGAAATGAGCAATTTCCTAAGAAGGTAGATGTGTCTTTTCATCTGGATCTTTATCCAAAAATAAACATGAAGATCAGTAAATATTTATCTGGATATAATAAAGGGATTCCTTTTATAGAAATGGCTAAAAGTTTTACATCACTTTTCATTATTTGGAAGAAATAAAATCCTGAAAGTTAGACGAAAGCATTTTTTACACTTAGCTGAATGGTGTTGTGCCACCACATAATTTAACTTTTATTTCCTGGGTTAGTCATACTTAGATTTAAATTATCTTCTGCAGGAGAGATCTGGCAAAGTAGATGCCTTGATTCTAATTAATAGAGTCAATGAAATGTTTAATCTTCATTTTAATGTTTAGGGAAATCCAAGAGAACATCTGCCAGATAGGAGATAAGTGCACAAATATTGTCCCCTATCAGGAGAACTCCAAAAAGTTTGTCTTTATTTTACTAAATGTTGGACCAGAAGAAATGAAGTTCAGCTATCAGTGTGAGATAAAGGTGAAGTTGGGATGTGTGAAAAACACCAGCAAAGGAAAACCAACCAAGCTAAAGCAAGGTATGTGATTACAACCTACCAAATCAATACATTCACACGTTATTAAAACTGGTACCTTTACTAACAAAACTGTAAAGTATGGATCTCACGTGTTATACAGTAAGAGATGGAGATCACCCTAAATACTCTGAGCGGAAGTCGCAGAACCATTAGAAAGAGGAAGAAAGAGAACTATACCGAAACTAGCTTACAGCTTATAATCTGGTGTTCCTTAATATTTAAAGATGCGTATAATGATATCAGTTAAACCTCCTACCTTCAGAGAAGCTTACAATTTTTGTCATCTAGTCCCTGCCTGTATATCCACCAAAGTAGCTGAACAACTTTGAAATGTCCGCGCTTTGACCAGAAAATATTGACCAACTTAGAATGATGCCTTTTATGAATTATCTCATTTGCCCAAAATGCAGCTGTGTTAAAGGAAAAGTCCGGCCAGCAAGGAATAATCAATGGATCATTATCTATACCTAAAACTAATATGTTTGCGGTGATTTAATGAATTTAGGGTAAATCAGTAAAAAAATGAAAGTAATCAATTTCGTTGCGATCACTGAGTCTGGAAGCGGCCATTTTTGCTGAAATATAGTAACACCTCACTCCTGACATCTTCCAGCGTCGTTCTCCTCTCTTTACAACCACAACAAATGGGAGCTACTAGGCACATCTGCAATCAAAAAATATTTAAGATTACATTGGGTAAAATTGAAAAAAAAAAAAATAGTTATTTCACCTTTTCCTGATTCCTGATCCTCCAAAACGAGTTTGTCGTTGGATTGCCAACTTGAAGAGGGAGGAAATTCTATCAAAACTTCTGGCCAGAGAAAAAAATATGTAAATATGTTGCCAACATTTGGAAGAAAAATGTTTTCAAGATAACTTGGATAATAGTTCGTTGTGACAAACACTTGATTGTTCAACAGCTGATACCGATGTCATAAACCAGTAGGTGGCAGATATGTTCTTTGACAAACATGGATGCCTCCAGTAAAGCACATTCAAATGAAAATTACTCTTAATTAAAAGCACTTATCATTTATTGAACAGTATGTAATAATTTTGATATTTATAGTACTT